TTCTTGGTGGTTACAAGGTCAGTCGAATTGACCGATCACGTTTTGAGATAGAGTAGAGAAAATAACATAAACTATAAGGATTTAGTGAAAAAAAACATTTGAAATGCATTTAGGAGGTTTTAGGGGATTACACAAAGGAAATTTGAGATTTTTGTGATGACTGAAAGTATTTTTAATTTTAACATGAAAATTACTTTGCACATGGAATATTCAAAATAAATACTCGATATATTCATGGACAAAAACTTTATTTTATTTTATTAGAAATACTTCACTAAGAAATATGACTTTTTGTATGTGAAAGACTTGTAATATTAACTGAAAGCCTGCCAAATTTTGTGAAGATATACCCAGTATATATATAGAGAGCTATAAGTATTAAATTTGTATCAACTTTAAACGAGTACAAAAAGTCCCGTGTTGGGAGAGTTAAATAGCTAAACTGAGACCTAGAACTGATACACACAGTTACGTAAACAAATCTGCGATGAGTTATCGTTTCTAAAAATAACTGAATTTAACGCTCGCGCTATACTTAAGTTAAAACAGTTGTGTATATCTAGCAATTAGGATTATTATGTATCACTGTTTCCTGATTAAAATTGTAAACAAAGTTCAGGTACCCCTACTTTATTATAACATTCTAAGAAGTATTTTTGTGTTATCAGAGTTGAGATACCCTACCTTACTATACATTCCTAAATAGCACTTTGTATTATTGAATTTCAGATACTCCTACTTTATGATATGGTGCTAAACAGTATTGTACAGGGCGACTATAAATCATCTGACCCATTTTGAAAATTAATAACTTCAAAAATATTATAGATAGAAGACACTGGTTCTATTTAACTTGACAAACAATCCTTTCTGTTGCGCCACCACACTGGAGTTTTGACATCTAGGAGTTCCAGAGTAACACATTCTCGGACAGATGGATAGGTAAAGATGTAACCCACATTCCCCCTGACATAACCCTGTTGGATTTTTTCTTGTGGGGGTTGTGAAAGATCGGGTGTATTTGACATCTGTGTGTGATAACATGGATCTTCGCCACAGGATAATTGATGCAACAAAGAATGTGACTCCTGAGATGCTGAACAACACCTGGAGAGAGATAGAGTATTACCTAGACATTCTCGGAGCAACAAACGGTGCCCATGCAGAAGTACACTAAGACAAGAAAAACTTGATGAGTTATTCGTTAAGTTAAATAAGACCAGAGTGTTCTATCTATAATATTTTTGAAGTTATTAATTTTTAAGATGGGTCAGATAATTTATGGACACTATTATTGAAGTTCAGATACCCCTACTTTAGTCTACATTGCTAAACAGTATTTTGTGCTACCAACTCTTGGATACCCTACTTTACAATGCTAAACAGTATTTTGTATCATATGTAAGTAATCGCAGGTACTGACAGAAAATTTGTTGAAAGTCTATATAGAAATAAATAGTGATCTTTCATTTGTTTTACAGTATTTGTCTGGATAATGAATTTGTAAACTGTAGGATATTTTGCTTCAGTTGTTAAGGTCTGTTCTGCCTCTTGGGGCAGTCATGATGTTATTGACTATCTGTAGGAAATATTGATTTTTATATGTGCTTTTACCTGTTAATCTGTACAGTTGGAGAGCTATTAAAATTCTTAAAAGGTCTGCTATAGCTAGGCAGTTAAATAGCAGAGCTGGAAAGCTTACTTTGATGCATTGGTTGATGTTTTCTGGTAAACATAACACTATTTAAGGCCAAGAAATGTGATGAAGATATCAATATACTTTACACCCTGGTATAGTCAGGCATATGATTCTTGTTTGTTGGTACTTCATTTGACCAATGTAGGAACATTAAGGGTTCTGCAGATTTAATGTAAAGACATTCATTGGTTATAATTTCTAACATTTCAAGTGTTGAGTTTGGAAATGTGGTGGAATGCATATGCGTTAAATCAACTCTGCATTACTGGTTGAAATTTTGCTACTGAGCTGAAAAGGTTAAAGTTGAAATATGATTGTTTGGTGGCAAACTGTACGAGTTTGAGATACAAATAGATATGGTAAAACAAGCATAATTTTCATTGTGGTGTAATAGATTAGCAGTTAGTTGTACAGGGTTTTCAATAGGAATAGTAATATAAAAAATTTCAATGTGAAATACGACATAACGGTGCCTTTTCATGTAATTAATGTGAAACTTGTATAATTTGTAATAAGTTTTTTAGAAAATGATTAAACAAAGTATGCATATAAGTACTTATAGTTATTGCATTATATCTGAAGAAACATCCATATTTATGAACTCTGGGAAATCTATAAAAGGAAAAGTCCTGGATGATGTTAGTGTTTCTAATTTGGATTAAAAAGTTGTCTTTCTTTAGTTTTAACAATAACCTTTGTACTTTGCCTCACTAATTTTGGTAGGGTTTTGATCTAATTTTTTCCACTGAATTTCAACGCTGAAAATAATGTTTGTATTTTATTTATATAATTAGTTTTATCAAATTTTCTTAACCCTCTTGCTACAGGCATCCTTTTCTGTGCATGTAAAGATATTTTACTGAGTTACGTTCACAATTTGAATAAAGCACTTTATTACCATGGTATATGAATAAACTTGGAATCAAATCTTAGCTAATAAATAACATTTTATTATAATATAAATTTTAAATGCTTAATTTTATAAGGCAATATTAAAAACAAATCCTCAATATTCCGTAGTATGAGAATTGTGACATTTGCTCACTAGGTATCCCCTCTTCTGTAATTTATTTATCACCCTTTCAAGAAATACAAAAGTTAATGTAAATTACTCATTATAATGTCATTGCCCAGGCAAAGCATAATTTTCATAGCTTTCAATCTTATTTGGTTACAGAACCATAAACTAGAAAATCAGACCCCCCCCCATCTTGCCATGCCCACCTATCACATCCTCTCTTTCACAAATTAACAATAGCTCTCTCTGATGTTTAATGTTATTATATTCACTAGGAAGCCAAAGTTTTAATCTATCAAAATTGTCCTTTGATAGTTGTCTTACTTTTGAAGTATAATTTCTTTGTATATATTTTTTTCCTTCTATTAGTTACGCAGAAAACCAATAGCAAAGTGATGGGTCGGATCTCTGCAACTACTATAGCTCTTGACTTGATAAAATCTCGGGGAATTATAGGGCTGTATAAGGGTACAGGAGCTACCATGCTTAGAGATGTGAACTTTTCTATTGTCTACTTTCCAATGTTTGCTCGATTAAATGCTCTGGGTCCTCGAAAGAATGATGGTAGTGGAGAAGCAGTGTTTTGGTCATCTTTTCTGGCAGGTTGTGCTGCAGGTTCAACTGCTGCTTTTGCTGTAAATCCCATTGATGGTAAGCAAAATGTATTTTAGTAAAGTATGGTATGCTTACTGCAGTATAAAAGCATAGTATGAGCAGTGTTAGTGGTTTTTCTTTCTTATTTTTTCCAAATAAAATATTTTGATTAACAATATTTATTTTTGTTGACATATTTTTATTATTTACCATTTCTAATGTCTGAAGTGTTTGTGGTTCTAAATATAAAAATATGTTTATATATAAGGTATAAGACCTATTTATTGCTAATTAAGATTCAGTCAACAGCAGGAAAAAGGTTAAATAGTTGATAAATATAAACTTTAAGACTTTAGGATCTAATTAGCATTTGCCAGCTAATTCTTTGTCCATAAGGAAAAGAAAAGCAACACCAGCTAGTATAGTCAGAAGTTAATTGATCATAGTTACAGAAATTTGTACATTATTCTATCATTGAAAATGTATTGTAGTCAAGTGATCTTTGCACCATGCTTTTACTTGCTTCTGGTCATTGATCTCTTCTATAGTAAATTGTGAATAATACTCTTTGACCTTGCCTAGTTAATAAGGAAAGCTAGAAATTGGGCTTTTTCTCATAATATATGTTCTGCTGACTTAGAAGTAAAATGTAAAAGTTTGAAGGAAATAGTCAAACTGTAAAGATCATGGTAATACTGTATACAGTTAGCTTAGGAAGTTATAAAGTATGTAATTGGAAACATATTGTTTAATCAAAGGCAGTGTGAAAAATGGACTAAACATTTAGATCTGAATTCAATAGGAGAAATGAATACCATATTGAGTTAAATGTTGTGTTAACTTTTTTTTTCACAGTGGTGAAAACAAGACTTCAATTGTTGACGAAAGGGGTTGGAGAAGTATCGTATACTGGAATACTTGATGCCTTCCAGTATGTGATTTTATGACCTTGTTGAAATTTTTTGCATACTATATTACTTATATGAATTTGCTTTAGATACTCTAACTGGAGTTATTTTTAATAAATTAGGAAATATGAGGTATAACCATGTATTTAAACAGGTTTAAGGAATGTGATGCTGTGCAGAGAAAGTAGCTTATTATTGTTAAAACAACATGCACATTTACAAACGTTGATCCTCTACCTGTTTCATCATAAACATAATATTTTGATTCATCTCAACAATAGGTGTATCATTGGTTCATTATATTCATTAGTGAGTTCTGTTTTTATAGTATTATTTAACATTGCCATTTATCAGTGTAACACTTTAAGAATGGTCTAGGTCCATTGGACTGAGCCCATTTCTGTAAAGCAAAGCACACTATAATGCTGATTTACTACATGTATCTTCATGAAATTTTGCAAGCTTTTAGTAACCATTAAAAGTACTTATACAAAAAAAATCATATTTTGTGATGGAGTATTTTTACTAAAGATTTGTCTGTGAATTTCTGAAGCCTTTACTATGTCAGTATGAGTGAAAGGTGATTTTTATGGTAAGAATAGAAACACTTTTATCTTACAGTTTTCATATTTCATTTGCATAACCACTAGAACATTCTAAATGATTATCAAAAATCATTTATGTTAAAAATGTATATTTTATCTTCTAATTTTGCAACCATTATTAATTGTAGCAAACTTATCAATGTACAGTGCTTACTGCAGTACTGATCATAAATATAATTTCAACTGTAATTTCCATATGAAAAGCAGTAACTCACAACTGGAGTCCATTATCTATTTCATGTGGAGCTAAAGTAAATGATTGTGAGGTGTCCTGTTACACAAGGTTGAGCTAGTGTAATTTTAGAAGTCTTATTTTACTGGAGTTTTGTTTGGCTAAGCAGATATTTATAGTTTTTACATTTTAGATATGTAACAGCACATAAAAAACAAGGATTTATAGTACTCACCAATTTTTGAGGTAGTGTGAACTTGAGTAGGTGTCTTTTTGTAAGCTTACAAACTTGGTTTTCCAAAAAAAACTTGTAGCTTTTAAATATGCATTTTAGAATAAAAAGTTATATCAATCACTAGAGTAAATTGTCCCAAAACAATTTTTTCAAATATTAATGATCAGAAAGTTTTATTTAATATATCCAAGTAGGAGTAACTTGTTTTCTTTTCCTCAATTATTTATAGTTGTTACTTCTAATTACATATTGAAGCAGTTAGGTATTTGTGAAAATGGTATCAAACACTGATGAAAAGTAAAAATGTTAACTGGTATAAATGCACCTTGCAATCGTATTCTAGGCCCACTCTTATTTAAGTAATATTTTTGATCAAGCTCATTTTCTGCAATAATTTTAGTTTCTTTTCAGCATTTAAACTAAGGTATCATTGAACTAGTATGTATGTGTTGTTTGAGTAATTTCCTCAAAAGGAAATCAAAGACTGCTTGGAGGCATCACCTCTTTTAACCACTTGTACCATTATACAAAAGTGTATTGTCTGTTCAGTCAGTAGATGCTAAAATGATGTAAGGGACACTTAATGTTGCAATTTGTACTGTTATGATGTCAGTAAAATGTACACATGCTATGAATCACAAGAAGAATTTTGCAGTCTTTAGGTTTCAACACAACATGACATATGAACTTCAAAAGCAAGAAATCTAAATATTTGTTACTCTTAATCTTAGTTTTATTTACTCTTGAAACAGAACAGTACATCTAGTGGAAAGTTTTATAACACACACACATCTGAATAGTTGCAGGAATCATGACATACCATATTTCTAACCCTGATATCCTTAATTTATGTTTAAGAATCTTTCTTTAGTTTTGATATAAATATTACACAAAAAGATTACCACAAACGAAAGTAGCAACTAAAAAAAAAAATTGCAGGTTTGTGGCTTGTTCCTTAGCTTTGTAAACAATTTTGCATTAGAATCCTGTGTTCTCCACTGCGATGAAAGACCGTGTGCCTGGCAAAGGGTGTCTGCTCAAAACATTGTACAAGATAGACTGGAAGAAGTTTTGATTTAAATGTGTCAATTTATTCTTTATTATCATTTATCTAAGATGCTATAAAAGATTACTGAGATTGTGATATGTAACATGAGAAATGGAGTAAAAGACAAATAGCCAAGTGATATATAAAGATGTATTCATAAACAAGTAGGTTTACATGCCTTTGTTTTTATTTTATATAACATTTAGTGATCAGTGTTACAGCTCATATCGTTGTTGAAGAATAGTGTGAATTCAAAGTTAGTACTAGTGAGTATCACAGATAAAATGATGTGAGATACTATAGATGAAAATCAGTTTTTGTTTGATGACCAGATGCAAATGAAAGAAGTTGTAAGTGAGTGGGTCAATATTTTCCAAGATAAATGTGAAATAGTACTGATGAGTAAAGTTACTAAAGGTTCATGAAATAACCATTGTAAATGAAGATCCAATTTTTAAATAAAAATTAAAAAGTATAAAAATAGTTTTATATAATACTAAATATTAAACAATAGTTTGATAAGATTATTTAGTTTTGCCGTTTTTTATTTTTTAAATTTAAAAAAAACATGTTTTTTCCGTACACCGTGACATTGTTTTTTTTTGTTTTTTTTTTAGAGACATATATTTACTAAGATATTGAGTTTAGCTGAAATTTTTCAGGCAAATCTACCATCGAGAAGGAATAAAGGCATTTTTCAAAGGTGCTGGATGCCGAATGATAGTTATAGCCCCTCTTTTTGGCATAGCACAAACAGTATATTACTTTGGTATAGCTGAATGGTTACTAGGATTAAAAAAAGGGTAAGTTACAGTCTTGTAGGTGTTATTGCTTTGTTTTGCCATTTTGTTTTTCAATCCACATACTAATACAGAAATATTAGCCAAATTTCATGAATTTATGAACAGTAGTGAACTCATTTCTTTCTTTTATCTGAAGTAAAAATAACAGAATGATATTAAATTATTCTTGACATTAGTTTTGCACAAAATATAGTGGATAGAACAAAATAATAGTCACTTGTAATGCTTTATATTACATACTTCACTTTTATTGTAGAAAATGTGACCTTCCTTCATTTTTTTATCATCATGAGAGTGCATAACTATTATATCATGTATTTTCACACTAAATTTATTTCTGTATATTTAAGAGCTTGCACATTTATGATCAATAACAAACTATAGTTGGTTGATAGCTGGCAACAACATGTACATTTATCAGTCATTGCATCCTGAAAACAGAGGAGTGCACACACAAGTGTAAAAATGTTGAAAGGAACCTCTTGGACACCATTAAAAATCCAATCGAAAGGTTGAGCTTGAATATTTTAATACTCACTTTTTTTCAGGATAAGATACTTTTGCATATTAATTAACTTAAAATCTCCAGTCATTTGATGTTAATGAGTATGACAAAAATACTGACTTGGGAAACTAAAATTTTATTGTAATATGTCTTACTGTTTTTGATGCTAATGAAAAGTATGTTGCAAATTTAGAAGATTATTTGTTTTGTTTTTTTAAGAACTGATATCAAGTCCTGGTAAATACCAATTATATGTATTCTTTTCAAACACAGCTTTCCTCTAAAGAAAAAAAACTGAATGAGGTTTGTCACTGTTGTAACAAAAAATATTTAAATATCCAAAAATAATTACTTCTGTAAAGAAAACTATCTCTTTAATAAATTATTAAAGTGTGTTTATTTTTTATTATAAGTTGGATCAGCTTGAAAAGTTATGTTTTCACTGCACCAGTTTAAAGAAAAGACTAAAAATGATTGAAAATTTATGAATATTTCCTGTAGTAACAAGTTGACAGTTCAAATACATTTGCATTCAGAAGTTTCTAACATTTAGTTAATAGTTAAAGTAGATTCACAGATAGTAGTCAGTAATGTCTTAGTTATCTACAGTGATGTGGGAACATATGGTACCATAATTTCATACATTCAGGAATTTAATTTCAATTCCCATCACATTGTAAATTACCTGCAATTACTGATCACAAGTTGATGAAAACAAAATTATACAGTCACTTATAAAAACATATATATATGTGCCAATTAATTACAAAACAATAAAAAATATGTTTCCCTGTGAAAGATAAAACAAGCATATGAATAAATAGACATAAGCAAAATATTTTGATTATATCAAAAGATTAAATGTTTTTTGAATTCACTGTTGCTGATAAGAATATGCTACTGGTCTTTCAGAACAAGATTTGCAAAATGTTTTGTGTAGCTAACGTTTTACTTTGAATTTTCATGTTAGGCACTGATTACTTCAAGATTTTGTGTCATAGCATAATAATGTTATAGGTTATATTTATTCTAAAAGTTAGACACAGGAGTACATTATGAAAAGTGCATTTGCCACAAGTTAATTATAATGAATTGTTGTACAAAGTGTTTTCTCTCAAGTTAGGTTCACTATTGAGGTATATTATAAAAGGTATTTGTGGTAAAATTTGGGCAATTGAGTACATTATAGAAAGTGTCTGTTACAAGTGAAGCACTGGGTGCATTGTAAATAGTTTTATCACATGTTAAGTACTGGAACTTATTGCTGGAAACATTTGTGTGTTAGTTATATTGACAGTTAAACAAGTGTTAAAAGCGGTATTTACTACATTAGCTTTTTCATGAAATTATTATATTTTTCCTGGTACTTGTAACTAGCTCTTCTTTGTTTTGTTTCTAGTAAGCTAATGGAAAGAGGTAAGAGTAAACTAACATCAAGTAGCTTTATTATAAGAAAACCTGTTAATTTGTTTCACACATTTGACTGGAAAAACAGTTTTTTGTATTGTTTCATGTTCCTTTAATATTGGACATAATGTGGTATTCTTAACAAAATCTCTTTTGATAATATTTAATTCAATAATTTGTTCATGCTTCATAAGTTAGATTATTTTTATTTTTCCAGACTTACAAGCCTTTAAAAATAAAGTAAAATTGGTGCCTTCATTCTCTGAGGTAAAAATGACTGCATCAAACATACTGTTGGTGTGAATGTGCTTTGCAGTCACTATGAGAAAATCTGTACACTAGGTAGGTGAAGTGAAGAAAAAGTGTCATTAGCCACTATTCAGTTCTTCACATTATATAGCCGTGCAATAGCAGGTATAATGACTGCATATTTACCATGTTATTATATCTATAGGTGTGCATAATGCCCTAATTCCTATCTTTGTTTTTCTCCCCAGTTGATTGAGACATCTTGCTGTCTTCTTAACTTTCTTCCTCCTCCTAGTCCTAGAGGTTTAAATACTTTTCATCAGATTTTTTAGAAATATATCCAAGTTATGAAAATATTGTTTCTGATTGGTGATTCCCACTCCCCCTTATTTTTTAGAAAATAAACTTTTCTTGTAGATTAGGCATATGCCAGCATAGATGTGTACATTAAAAACAAATACTAAAACTTAGTGACAAAAAGACAGTTATTCACTCTTGTACAACTTGTTTTTTGATAAAGGTTTTTTTTCAACTACCAATCTAATGTAAAGTAATAGTAAGGGGTTTTATATTAATAAGTAGGTGCTAACAATGAAAACATTGGGTTCCAAGACGATACCTCACCTTTATACAAAGAATAGCCTGATTCCTTCATGCATCTACCTGTGAGATTTGCATGCCACTAGCCTTGAGCTAACTTCCATCTAAAAAACACATGTTTAACATGAACTGTGCTAGTGCATGATAGCCCTCCACCAATAATGGAGTAGAGCAGAAGAAGAATTATGGGCCAATGTGATGAAGAGAAGAGTATGAACCTCTCCAGAAAACTCATCTAGAGAGCAATGAAGTACCTTAGAAATAAGGTGTAGTGATGAGGGGTAATGCAAGAGGGTGATAAGAAAGAGATGAAGACGTGAAAATTGGGCATTAGAAAGAGAAGTAGAGGTTAAAGGATTTGCTACCCAAGCAGGTAAAAAGAGATCCAAAAGACTGGGAATTGCAGAATTGAAATAAATAATGTCTGTAAGGCAGGACAAAATAGGGTACACAGCTGTTCAAGAAACGAGTCTGCACAGATCCTAATATCAGGAGAAAGAGGGAAGACAAAGTAATCTTGAGTATGGGTTTTGTGTAGTAAACCATGGGACGAATTAAAAGACATGGAAAAGAGAAAGAAAGAAAGAACATACCTGTGAAATCAAGTCAAGGAAGAGATAAGGAGGGAGAGGATTTTCCTCCACAAACAAAGCTGTGCCTGGAGCAAACCCTGAAGGGGGAAATTGTGGTCAAAATCATTTTCACCCTTGTCATGTTCAAACTGGGGAGAAGGAACTTCGGCCAAATGGATGGAAGGAGGAGGCCCAGTGTGAAAGAAGGAACCCACAACATATTGAACAATGGCTGTTACGTTCTCAACAAACAATGACCCTCTGTAGTAGACACAGGAGCATTGTCGCTATCATGGGACAAAATGGAATTTACCATCATCTGAGAAGTCGGTGTTGGGCGGTCCAAAATTTTTTTTTCTTTTTGCTAAGTAAAATTAAAGAAACCATGCTGGTTATGTGAAACACTAACACTAAACCATGTAAACACATCCATTCTAGACAATGCCAAGGAAAAAAAAAGTTTATTTGAGCACAATTGCTTAGGGGGAGTTACTGCCCAAGGAGGTTGTCATCCTCCTTTTGGTGGAGGGCTATCATTGCATGATGATGATATGCATTAATGGAGTTCATTTTAAACATGTTTTTTGGGGTGGGATGTAGCTCATAGGCAGATGTGAGAAGGAATCAAGATATTCTGTGTTCAAAGTTAAGGTGAGGAAAATGTTATATATATAAGAGATTGTTGCAGCCAAGAATAAAATCTTTGTATTGGTTATATTATCTCCTAAACATTAACCCTTTCACAACAGGTAGGTCAAAGTGTGCATGTTACAACCTTTTACAGAATTACATTCAACATTTAAATACTGTATTATCAATGTGTATTAATAAACTTGGCATCAAACTGTAGTTAATCAATCATGTTTTAATATTATGTAAGCTTTAAGTACTTACTTTTGTAAAAAAATATTTAAAAAATTCCTCTCTCCCCTAGTATGAGAATTGTTCTGTAGGTCTTCCCTCTTCTCTATTTTGATGTTTTATACTGTATTATTTATAATCAGTAGATTAATTTGTCAAATAACATTTATGTTACATTGTTTTCTGTCCAAAGCATCATCTATTTTATTATGTTTCGGTTTAATTTTTATGGGAATCACATTAATGAGCTTTGTTGAATCTTTAAAGGCTCTTTATCATATAGTTAAAAGCCTGAAAAATTATAATAGCTATAGGACATTGTTTGTTTTTTGGTGAAGTATTTAATTAATGCTTTCACTATGGGTATCTTTTTCTGTACATGTCACAAGGTTTTAGTGAGTTACATTCAAAATTTAATTAAACTACTTTCTTAAGAATTAATATCCTAGTAAGGATTTTAGAACAAGACCACTTTACATACTTTGCCTATACAAGTTACATGAATATTCTACCTACCGGTATGTTTTGTTTGGGCAAGTAAAAACCACCTGATGGCTAAAAATTATCAACATCCCAAATGGATATAAGAGACCTACTTGAAATGAAATTTAAATCCATACATGTTTTTTTATTCTCTCACTACGAGGTCAGTTAATAGATCGGCCTTGTAACCATTTTGTAGTTGTTATAGTTTCCATACTATAACTTTTAACACAGTATAAAAGTTATGAATAATTGACATTAAAACATAGCTAATAATCCAAATTTTAATAGTTTATAAGTTTTAAGTTCTTAATTTTATTAGGTAATATTTAAAAAAAAATCAATTTCCTCGAGTATTAGAATATAGACCTGTTTGGCAGGGATTTATCTTTCAGAAAGACAGTGATCCCAAGTATTCAACAAATGTGTTGACACAATATTTAGAATTTAAAAAGAGGCCAGAAGAACAGTTACAAACATGGCTTAGCCTAAATTAAGACCTTATATGAATATCATTAAAGCTGTATAGACTTGTATGTAAACTAAGTAGGTTATATGGAAAATCAGAAAATTTGTTTGAATTGTTTGCAGTAATACCGTTACTCGTTGTTGGTGACTTGTATGTGTATTATCTGTGTATTTCCATAATAATTTCCAACACTGTTTACAAAGGGTTAAGTGTGATATAGTAAAACAAACTTAAATACTCAAATCAACAAGTCGCATGACAACCACAGGCAGTATAAAGTTATAGTGGAACAGTATGTATCTGAACAAAATTTTGACATTGTTTAGCTTGAGGAAGGTGTGTAAAAACCCTTTCCAACACAATATTCATACATTAATATCTTAAAGAAGTATTCATATTGGGTATTTAGAATTCACTATTGAGAATATCTTCTATACTGAATGGTATTGAAAAATAAAGGAATATGGATCAATGTAGGGAACCTAAACATATCGAGAAAGAGATCTGCAGGAAGTTGTCCCAAGACATGGTAAGTAAAGTGTGGCATATCGTAAAAGGTAAGAATCCACAAACACAAAGTTCAGTGGAAAAAGCCATCCACATGTTCAAGGAAACAGTATGCAACATAATCAAGAAGGATCTCCATTCTGGAGAAACAAAAACAAGCCATGTGTACACAAGTTGTTCCCATCACATGTCTGCTCAATTGTCACGTACCCCAAGCAACTTGAGAATGAAATGTGTATTCATGATATTTCATACAAAGGCATACTGACCAAGTTCTCATATGCAGAGCTTATGGAAATTTGTGAAAACAGACTGTTGAATTGGGTACTGAGAAACTTTTGTCCTCATACACTGGATGGATTATGAAGAGCATACAATGAGTGGTATATTATGGACATGACAGCCTTATGACAGATTCTTTTGCAATAGAAACTATGTTGCAGGGCTACTATAAAGATGCATGATCATCAGATAAAGCATAACTGGACATGGTAGCATGGACTGTAATGGTGTGATGAGACTTTGAAATCATTTTCAAATAACATACTCAATATTTTTGTATATTTGTGTATAAATAAATAGGCACCTTAACATTGCCTTTTATTATTTTTTTTATCTAAGCCAAATAGTACATATACAGTTGAAGACTTAGCTCCCTAACACCTAGAAACAAGCTTATTATTTAAAAAAACAAAAAAAACTATGGATCTTGTTCTGAACCTGTAATTGGATATGTGATAAGAAGAAAACAATTGATTAATGGAGGAATATAAATTAAATTACAAAAACTCGTTTGAATTTCCTCAATTTATTCAACAATTTGTGGAAGCATTTTTTGTAGTGGAATTATAACAAATGTTATCTCTATATTTAATCACAATTCTGACTGGCCTTATTTTTATATTATTACAATTATGGAAAATTCATATGGCTTCCTAAAATTTTTCACACTGTCAAAATTACAGTTCTGAATGCTAAAACATTAGCATAGCCCACTAATTACTCTGAATCATTAAGATTCTTTGTAACTTAATCTTCTAATTCACTGTTTTGAATTACTTGTAACTTGCTTTTATGAAGGTAATGTTATCATTCCAGAAATAACCAATGTTTATTTTAAATAACTCCAACACTAATGTCTGCTTGCAAACTAGTAACTCAGAATTACAAATAATGATGATGATAAACAATTATTCTAAAGAACTATACAAAAGAATTTTTTTTTTCTGAGCTACTGCACAACTACATGTTCAAAAACTGACAAAAGATTCTTATTACTCCCCCCCCCCCGAACTGCAGACTTTAAAATGGTAGAAACCAGTTTTGTGTAGCTTTGTGCTTAACTAAGAACAAATAAATCTTCTTACTTAGAGAGGTGACCTTTACTAACAGTTTTACTGATATGGAGCTTGCCAGTGTTGTATACTTGTATAACTATTTACAAATGTCTTTGTATTGAGTTAAGCAATTTAAAACTTCAGAAATTCCTTAATGAATTTTTAGATCATTAAATATGAGTTATCATTTTATTAAGAACTGTAAGGAGAAACTTGGGTAATTGTTGCAAATATTTTAGAAAAATGAAATAAAGATAAATTTAAGATAGAATCTGATATCTTCCTTCAGTGGCAATGAAATGACTGTGTGTTTGTATTACTTAATTCATTTGTTGATGTAGATGGGATTAATCAAAATCAAAGATAGTAATGTTATATTTTGTAATGATGTTGAAGTTTAATTATTGCAGTTAGACACACATCAGACATTTCAGTGGTTAAATTTTTTATCAAAAACACATAGTTTAATTGAAATTATTTATTTTTTTATTCAAATTTAGAAGGTAGGATTTGACCGCAAGTATGCGATTGATAAACCAGCATACATTTATAGTGTAATTAATTTGCAATTTGAATTACTTTTGACATGGTTTAGTCTATAGAATATATTCATTTCTGCATACATTTATAGTGTAATTAATTTGCAATTTGAATTACTTTTGACATGGTTTAGTCTATAGAATATATTTATTTCTGCTAAGAATGTCTTGATTAAAGTTTCTGAAAAGTGTACAAAAAGAAAACTTTTCAATCCAATTCCTTTGTAAAAATCTAACCATTTACAATAGGAAGTTGAAGTTAAATTGTGTGTTTTCATAGTTTGTTTTGTTTTATGATTTATTTATTCTTTTGACTATATTTCTTTTCCTTTTTTTAACTAGTGCACTCTGTCTGTTTTTTTTTCTTTCTCCTTTTTTTTTTTTTTTTTCTGTGATAGTACTGAATTAACGTCTTACAAGTGGAAACAAGACCTGACAGAAATGTGATGCCAAACTATCAGGTATATGTCTACATGATTTGATACATGTTTCTTTGTTTTATGTGTATTCTTCTTGTGTGCTATAAGTTCTCTTAGCTAAAAATTTTTTATATTTCAACTGTTTTGTTGTATTTGTCATTTGTATTTCATTTTCTAGCTTTGAACTGCTAAATGAAATATAATATTTTAAGTTTGGTTGGATATATAACTAAGAGTTTGACATGTTGTTGATCATGCACCTTCCTGTTTCTTTACATCTTTCATATGTTTGTTAAGTGTTTGAAAATTTTGTCTATATTTGAAGTCATCCTTCTTTCTTAATTAAGTTGACATGGAATTATTTTTTATGTTGTTTCATAAAGGGTGACCACAGATTATTTTATTATCTGTTCATTCCTACTGGCTGAAACTGCATAGAAGTATAATTAAAATTGCTTACGAACAATTTTAATACAGGTTGAAACATGGCATGACAAACAGTAACTCTTAAATTAGTTTAGTTAGAATTTTGAACAAGTCTGCTTTGAATGTCTGAAGAAATAATTAATAGTATAAATAAACTAATTAGATAAAGAAATTTCTTCCAGGTAGGAACTATAATCAGGGCCGTCTTAACAATATTTGAGGCCTCCGGGCAAAGCAATGTACTGGGTCCCCTTCATACTCACTGAATTTGTCTCTCATTTCCTGAAGATGGGCTTTCAGAGACTTGAGGAGATCAATGGCAACAAGTATGTCCACGTCTTTTGACTGCAAAATTTTACTTGTTTTGTTCACTCTTTCCAGAATGTCATTCCAAAGAATTGTCAAAAAGATAGTCTCTAGCTTCTCCATTTTCTTGCTAAATCCTTCTGTCTCACGTCTTGTGTTCCACTCGTGATCAGCATCAACTGCAAGGGCATCCATTGCATCTTGAATTTTCTTGAAACCTCCATGAAGAGTAGTGACAGCATCGAAATGTGCTGACCATCTCGTGTCAGAGAGACACTTGACCACAATATGATTCTTTCCCAAGGATGACGTCCGAATATTCCAGCGATGTGTGGAAGCCGAGAAAAAGGAATACAAACGCTGAACAAAATCAAAGAAGGAGATGATCTGTGGACCACACTCTGTCGCTTTTACTCCCACCAAATTCAGACTGTGTCCAGCACAAGGAATATAGATAGCAAATTCATTTAGTTTACAGATCCGTGCTTGCAATCCAGAGTAGCGTCCCGACATATTTGAGGCATTGTCATAAGACTGACCACGGCAGTTTGATAACGGAATGTTGTTCTCTTGCAGGAACTCTACAACCATGTCTGCTAAATTCTTCACCCCGTGAAAAAAGATGGGGATGAATTTGACAAAACGTTCCACCGGCTCACTTCCACAAATGTACTGGACAGTAAATGTCAGTTGATCAATATGCGAGATGTCCGGAGTGGAATCGACACTTATTGAATAATACTTTGACTCTTATTTCTTACAGAATTGCACAAAATACCTGTTATCCCATTATTTCAATACATTCTTCACAAATGTTTGCCGATAGATATGATGGGTTCCACTTTCCAGTATTTCTGTACACTTTTAAATGTTCTTCCTAAAAAGGGTCAAACTCACTCAATAGTTCTAGAATGCCAAGAAAGTTTCCTTTTTTTAGGACCCAATAGTTTGATTCTCCCCACAAAATACCAAACCTCTGGAGGCAAGAAAGTAGATAACAGAAACCACACGCTTTAACACTTTATGCCAGTACTCCTTTTGTGAACGATGCAATGCAGAATCTACACAATCACTTCTTTTGTGCCGAATAAAATATTCCAACAGGCACCTGCAATGTTCTTCTCCATTTTCATGCTCTACAACGACATTGCTGTGTTTCCAATCATTGAATCCTGATGTAGCGAAATGAGATTCTTTCTTGGACAATAGACGACATGGAAAGCGATACAAACAATCTTTGGATGGTGAATATAGCAGCTATTCGCGTTTTATAAACTTGCCATTCTGTAGTTCATGTTTGAATAATTTGTTTGTTAAATATCTGGTCTGTGTTTTTTCTCCTTTACCATACACAAGGCGGGAGTTCGAAAAGTCGCAGTCGTGATTTTGATGTAGTTCAGTAGGAGAAGGAGCTCGTGAATTTGGAACTGGGGGATCAGATAAAGAAGTGCTTGCAGGAGTGGAATTAAGTGTTGATGCTTTATCCAGATCAGAAGCAGTAGCTTTTGCAGCATGAACATTTATTCACTTATTTAGTAGTTATGTGGTGTAATTTGAGCATATTTTGAACATTTTTGATCAACAAAACCGTAAATGACTCAGTGTGTAAGCAAGTGGGTAAATTTAAGCTCCATTTTGTATACAAACATATGTTAGGCTAATGAGCCTAACGTTAGAGTGCTTTGAACAGACTAGCTTATCAGTTTTTATTTTATTTTCGATTTAACTTCATAATTGTTAATATTATTAAAAGAAATTGTTGTTTTACTTGGCTGGACAGTACTGTACCCAAACAAGTAACAACTAAAATTTCAATGACATTTGCCGTATCTTCGGGCTGATCTTGAACGATGCCATGGGGGAAATTTCGGGTTGCTGAAAAATGTTGGTATTTTTGCTTATAATTAGGCCTTGGAGTAATAACACTGGCAGAGGTTGCACTATTTGTTTATTATATATCAGCTACATACTGTGAGCTGTTTGAGAGTTCATTCAACTTTTAACTACTCTTGAACATTTGCATTAGGACTGCTTGTGTTATATTACACGTATATAAAAATGCAAAAACACGTATACAAAAATGCAAAAAGTGCTGGAGTGCTGCACTGCTGCTGTGCCGGCCAGGTAAGGTGGCCCCAATTTCACATTAACTTCATTGCTATTTAATAATATGAACCTCAATTTTTATTTTTCAAATTAAATCGTGGGGCTCCCGTGCAACTGCCCAGTGTGCCAATGCGATAAGACGGCCCTGACAATAATCGTGAAAATCCAGAGAAAAACAATAAAAAATACAAGCTGTGAAAAAATATAGAAGTCAGTCTGTAAGTCAAAAATTATAAAAAATATGCATATGTAGATTTATTTGACAGTGGCGATCACTTTTACCTGTCAAAGTCCTGCCACTCTTACCAGTGATGTTGTAAGGGAAGATTTATTCTTATGTGCAAGGAAAGTAAACTCTTACTAACTTGTATAAATCTCTGTACCACCCCTGAACTTGAGTATGACCCACACTCAAATGAATCGACACACTTTTCCTATGATATGGTTAAGTTTGTTTGCCTTTCCCAATAATGGAGAGCTCTTGTTTGAACAGGTGGGGTTTGATTCCTCAGAGATAAATGTAATTTTGTTGAGAAGGGGGAAAAAAGTACAGATGCGGCCACAAAAACCTCCAACACTGGGGTAAAAATCATAAGGTGGGTCATTATGCAATGTGATCTCATTTTTAAAGGTGCTGGTGGAAGGAAGACCCAAATTGTATTTGGGGTACCAAGTGTACCTGGCTTTGCCTCAGTTTCATCAGCCTCACATAAGCCATGTACTTATCTTGAAAAGAAAAGGGCATGTTTTTGTTTTCATGTTTACAATGAGCATGACTTTGACAACTGAACTTAAAGTACTGTAATGAGACAACTTTATAGGATTTCACTTATTATTCTCACCTTACTGACACCTTTATAATGTATTTTCATAGTTCATGCATTTTATGTTAACAAATTTGTCTATAATGTAGGTTACTCACTTATGTATCGAATTAATTATTGATACCCACTATGTTCTTTCTTATGAACTCTTCATAAAGAAAACCATCTTGACCACCATATTATTTGAAGCACATGTGTAACTAAAGCATTTCACTTTTTCTTTTGGTACCTTATGCTTAAATCGTTAAATTCCTCTACTTGTTTCTGTAAATGGCTACAAACATGTTTTGTACAAGTAGGCTAGGTGATTTAATCAATTAATGTCACATAAGCTAATAGTTTAGCTGAAATGAGTGTTCCTGCTACTACTGCTTTTGATTCTTTCAACAATAAATTAATCAAAGTTATGATTAAATTTATTGTAACAAAAATAATCAACTAATCAAAATTTGTTTTTGATTATTACACTTTTCTATCATTTCAACAGTCGATTAATTGAAATTCTGATTTTATCAATTGTCATGAAAAGAATTAACTACTCAAAATTAGCATTACCGATTAATCAGAATTAAGATTCTGATTATTTGGGTATTTTTTTTGGGGGGGGGACTCGTAATTCAAGGGTATTGAGCTAGATTTCCATTGCCACCAAAACTTTCTTGCCATGTCTTTGTTATGGCAAAGCTACTTAGGCTATCTTCCACTGCCACTAATTTTGAACTGCTGACTAGAGGGAGGGCATCTTGCTGATAACATATGCTGCAAACATTCTTTTTTCTTTTTAAACTGCATATTAGTGAGAAGGCAACTGTCTGGCAGCATCTGCCACCAACCTTTTTTTAACTCCTGACTAGAGGAAAGGCGAATGGCTGGAAGCACCTTGCTGGAAACCTTTTTCCTTTGTATTTACCATGGTTTGAGGAACAATGTACTAATTAATTAATAAAATGTAATCAATTTGTGGAGGCTGTTGATTAATTGATTAGCAAATACCTCTTATTTTCAAACTATATATACAAGTTTGGATCATTTGTTCTTAAGAGGTAGCTTACTAATTATGGTTGTTTTAAGAATTCGGGGCAAGTAGTTGCTGAAGCTTTTCTTTCTGCAAAATGGTTGCTTGAATGCATCTTGTACTTACAGACATTACTATTGCTATCAGCTTAAAGGTATGGGTTCCCAGTTTGCAGAGATTATGTAAACTGTACAGAAATAGTTTTACTTGAATTTGTAGTTCTTAAACCTTCATTTGTGATTCATTGATAGTTCTTATCTGGATTTATAAACCTCATATAATAATGTCTCTAAGTGAGTCAACAGTAAGTTTACAGACTTACAATGCTAAAATCTGGGACTTAATTTCCCATAGCTTGTTGTGTAGCTTTAATATTTAATAATTCTAGACATTAATTAGACAACTGAAGTTACAATTATTAGTTTTCACATTAAATACTGTAAAGATGATTATAATACATCTTCACTTGAGAGTATGTTGTCTTTGTTGTAACCATGGTTTTGTACAGTAGTATTGAAACCAGAGTTGGTGTAACATGGCCATTTAAGCCATGATTTTTTTTTCAACTATGTGTGTTCCCCTAGAAGTGAAAAGCTAGACAATTTGAATAGAACCAGAAGTTTAGGCAATTATTTTAGCTTTTTCCAAATATATTTCTTTTAAACTGTACTAACTATGTTAAAACATTCACATTCTTGTCATTGTAAAGGCTGCCACATCTGTGAATATGAGTCATTTGACTTGCATATGCCATTATATCTGATTACATTGAGACCTTGTCTACTTCTGTAATTTTACTTTCCCTGTTAAGTCAGAACTTTGGATTTTTTTTTGCCAGTTAGTCTGGTATTTGTTTCTTTTTTTTTTTTGTTTACTGTTTTTTTAGCTTTTCATTATAAAATTATTAATAAAAAGAAACATGGCTGCTAACCTTCACTAAAAGTAATGTTGTTTTACTTGTAAGTATATTAGATATCTAGTCAGTGTTTTGTTTTAACATCTGGATATTGTAATTCTATTTTCAGTAGTCGTGTAGAAGATATGAGAAAATTTACTTGACCACTTCTTGGCCAGAAATGTCTCCTCCATTCCACCAAGTTTTAATCTTGCCAGTAAAACAACCCACTGGGGTATTAAATAGGATTTAAATTCTCCTTAATCACAGTGCTGCTGAATAGCAATAAGTTTTGTAGCAAACAGCTTTCTTTGTTCATGTCCATTTTTGGAGCACTTATGGATAAATTCACACCTTTTGTCACAATTCAAAGTATTATGTTGCCACAAAAAATAAAAGTCTGAGAATGACAGTAAAATACATAATATATTTTCAAATATAGGACTTCCATTGTCTTTATTTGTTTACAATCATAAATTTATATTTAAAATATAATATTAACATTTTAGATTTGTCAAATATGGAATAGAGTTTAATAATATGAATGTGAGTGTATATGGAATCTGAAAGCAAGAATTGTTTTCTTTGTTTCTCAAGACTTCTAAGTAGAAAAAAATTGTATAATTATGATCGATGATGTTTATATATGCAGTGAGCTGATTTCCATTTTTTATGACCTCATCCCTTTGTTATCTATTTCTGAAAAATAATGTCTTTATTATGGTAAAAAATTAAAAGTTAAATTCTTTGATTTACACCTATCATTAGAAACAAAAGATTGGCATGTAGCATGTGGAATTTTAAATGTATTCAAACATACTAATACTTAACATATGTATATAGAGAGGTTCCCATGTGCATCAGTTCCTGTTTAAAGCTTTTAAAATAGTGAGAATTAGCCATAATAAGAATAACTTGTCAAAATATATTAAGAGAATTATTTATTTTAATTATCAGTAATTTATTTTTAGTACTGAAAGTTCATCTTGGACAAGTGGTCTTCTCAAAATTCCACCTGGTTAAATGTGTGAATAATGTTAAAAACTATAGAAAGGTGCTGGCTGTTGCTGTTGAAATGTATTTTGTGAAGTGTGTGGTGTGAGAAACTTAATACTAAATGTTCTGTAGAGTTTATTTAATGAAGATTTGGTCTGTTTCGTATATGACTTTGTGCAGCTGAGCAATACTGGAAATTTCAACTGTTTGTCAGCTATTACAAGTAATCTTTATGAAACTAATAAAATATACCACTGAACATAAAGCAAATTTAAGATGAATAAATTGTTAGAATAGATGAAACTATTTTTTTTTGTAAGATGATTTTTTGTTAATATAAAAATTTTCAGTTAACTATGGCCACTTTGAATTTATTGTCATTTGATATTGAGTTCTTCATTGCATTAAAATCTGAAAGTCAAAGATTTTTTCTACAATTTTCACATTATTCTATATAAACAATTTACTAGAATCCCTTATATAATAGAAAGTATAATATACTTCAACCCTAATATTTCACAAAGAAATGAAATAAGAATAAAAATCTAACTTAAGTATCTGTTTATATTTGATGTAATGCTACATTGGTTTTACTGCTTCATTCCAGAAGTTTGCTATTCTTTTGAATGATGACTTGCATTCCAACATAGCAAGCATTTAAATTGTCTGTTCATTCTTTTGTGTGTTCTAACCATCAAAATAATTCGAAATATAAGGCTATTGATAATAGTCCATTGAAAAATTCCTGCTGCAAGTGGTTGGTTTTGACAACCAAGTTGTTTGAGAAACTTAAAATCACATTTTCTTGAAGTAAGGCTTGTATCATTATCCTGTAAGCTTGGATAAATACTTCAATAATTTCTGCAAATTGAAAAATTATTGTAATGCTATGTGGGCATACCAGTTGAGTTTTTCTGTCACAGTGTGTAGAAAAACTTCAGTAATGTCAAATTTGTGTAAAATTCAGATGCCTTCATAAAAACACATTAAAATGAATATAAGATCTTTTTTTTTAATCAAGGTTATTTGCTTAATATTTTTATCTAAAACTATCAAAAAAGGGATCAGAAGATGTATGACTTGTTAAGATATCTCAGGAAAACATCTTATTGTGTTATACTTAAACAGTTATTTGAGGTTAATATCCTTTTAGCAACTATTTACTAAGCATTCAGAGTTAAGGATTGTATTTTGTGTGTGATCTCTTGATTTATGTCTACAGTTGGAATGAAATTACTACTTATTGTGGTTTTACATAGAATAATATTTCTAATGGGGCTTCAAAAAATATTTAAAATTTTGTTACTATAACTAGAAGATTGCTTTATAATGCAAACCAATGCTATGAGTAAGTAATGATTGATTTTATCAAGTTGATTACTATTTTGTTGACAGATTCTTCTATGTTGTTATTTTAGTTAAGAATTTGATTTATGTTATAACAGTTTGAAAACCTGTGGTCATTGTAATAACATTTATTCATTGTTTTATTTGTGGTTCTTGTTATAAGGATGATATATGAAGTTGGACTTGAAATGATGAATTGGTATTGAATTTTGTTTTTCAAAAATGAAATTAATGTTAACATTCTTTTTAGATATTATATATGAAATGTTTACACAATATCTCAAAATATTATGGGAAAAGTAAATGTTATATGTATGTTTAAATTTTTGTAAGGTTTGGTTTTATATTGATGATACATATGTATGTTTAAATTTTTGTAAGGTTTGGTTTTATATTGATGGTGCATAGATATTAATTGGTAAGTTTTGGTTGTTATAATTTTTTTTATAATTTACAAACAGTACTGCTCATACTTCATTTCTGCACCATGTTAAAAGATCTGAAAAAATGTAGTTCAGGTTTTAGATGTACATATTAGTAAACACAGAGCACATCCTACAGTTTAAGCATTTAAAGGAGTTTTTTTAATGAAATTATGCTCAGTTAGTGATAACTACTGATATAATGGTCTGAATTCCCCATTGTATGAAACTTGAATTCTTTTCAATACAAATATGGTAATCACTATTTATTGTTTTAGTATTTGTTCTGAATATTGTGTTTTGCTTTCTTTGTATCATATAGAACTACTTATACCTTCACTCAGCATCGTGACTCGTTGATCTGGTGCAGATCTTTGTTCTTGAAAGTCAAAAGAACTGTAAAAACTCCATACTGCACAGACCTGTATCATTATATATGTAAAATTTATACAGATGTATATACCAAAAATAAAAATGACAAATTAACAGTTAACTTTTGGTATGTTACCAGTTCACTTAGTAACAAAAGATACCTTTCATCTCTTAGTCCCATATAATTAGATGTATCAACACAATAGTAGACAATCATCTTTTAAACATATTTTCATCTAGTTGTCAGATAATTTTTGTTTAAATGGATTATCATAATGATGATAATGCCCAATTTTTTATGAATTTCAAATAATCTAGACTATCATTAATTATATGGCATTAAAACATTTTATATCAAAACATATCATAATGATAACTGAAAGCTTCAGCCAAATAATTTTATGTAAAAAACTGGTAATAAAGTTGTGTATGATATTTTCTTAACTGAAAAATTTCTAGCTCAAAACATTATATTATTAAATGTCTTTTATTCTTTCTCACTCCAACACACACAAATACATGTGGAAAGAGACTGATTCAGCTTATTCATTAGATTTATACCTCCTTTTTCTTAAAATTTGTTAAGAATCAGTGGACTGGTCAGGAGACATGCTAGTTTTATTCCATGTTTAGAAAAGGTAAATTTCGTTGGAATGACATATTTGAGTAACAAGTAATGGTGAATGAAAGAAGGATGCTTAATGTTTGTGTAGAAAGCCAGTCTTGTATTTGTGTGCCTCAGTATATACATTAGTTTTATTAAATGAATAAAATGTTGATTGTTATGTTAGAAGGGTTATTCATAATCCATCTTACTGAACACTTTACTCGTTTAAATATATATAAATAAATTTCTATAAATTTTTTTTTAGTTTGTACAATTTATAATTCTAAGTTGCTTCTATTAAATGGCATTGGTGGTAGCGTTGAATCTGCTGACATTATGTCATTAACATTCTATGAGTCAACTTCAGAATTGACATTGTTTACATACTAGAAAGCTAAGTGTTATTGTTATTCTTTGTTGGGTGAACTTTTTAATCATATCTTGATGGCATAGAGTGATTGTTTGTGTAGCTGTTTAAAAATTTATGTAATCTGTATAAGTACATAATAAATTTTGTTATTGTACACAAGTTGTATTTTTTTAAAGAAGTAGTAGCCACATTGAAGCAAAAAAAATTCTGCATGTATGTGGTTTGGTTACATTTTCCTTAATTTGTATAATTCGTGACTTATTTATATGCTTCAGGTAATATATTGGTAATTTTTAATTTTCATGTCTTGGGAAAATTTTTGTAAAAATTGATTCCTATTTCATAGAGTGAGAATTTCACTTTGGTCAAGGACCTCTGAGGAGAATGTATGAAAAAGTGTGTTAGTAATTGGTGTACAACAATAATTGTGTGACACAAATGGCACTCAAAACAAAAACATATGTTTAGGATTTAGAAGACCAAGATATGAATATAAGACATTCAAGGTAGCCTTTGATCTCATTACGATTTGCTAGATTGATATAGTAACTTTTCATCTTGAGCTGACAGTCATTTTTAGAGGTGTGCTTTAAACAGTGCAAGTCAAGTCCCCCTTGTTGGGTAGCATACATGTGAATGATACCTACACATGAGCAGAAGACCGGTAGGATGGTAACTTTCAAAATTCCGCAAATTAACTGTCTAATCTTCATTTGGACATTGAATTTATTACAAGAAAAAGCAATATATATAGTTATTCAGAACTTTTTCTAAAATAGCCCAAAACTGATTTCAAAATAAAAGTTTCCTGTTAGCCTACATAATGTCATACTTCAAGAGTTTCAAATAGTTACTTTCTACCATTTAATTTTGCTTACTGTGATATAAGAAATTTCAACTTTTTAAAAAGCTGCTTCATATCTCAAAATTCATGTAAATATTTTAGTGATGTTCACAAAATTAAACTTGTGGATGAAGCAACTAATTACGAGAGCATGCAAGGCAACAATCTACTGGCTTCTCTCAAAATTTTTTGTTTCAACATAAAAATTCAGTTTTCTTCTAATGTACAAGAGGCATTTTATGGATTTACGCTGAATTTCCCAAATTACCACAGTGATGGTAATATTTCATGAAACTGATAGTTATCTGTATATTGTATAAAGAAAACACACTAGTTATGTGGTTCCTATTACTTTAGTTGCATCTGAGAACGCATAATGGTTACTTGAGCATTTGAAATCATTGGTTGATGATTGTGCAGTCTGAAAGTAGACCATTAACAGGATCTCGGTAAGCTAAGGGCACTATTTTTTGTATAAGATGGTCTAGTGGGCAAACTCAAGTAATCATCACATATATGCTAGTTATGTACATTTTATAAAACCACCACCAGTTTCCTTGGAGCACTAGGAATGGTAATAGTAACAAAACAGTAACACAGCTGTTATAAGAGATTTGATCATTACAAATGAAAATGGTTTACCTTACACCACCACCCAGATAACTCATTGTGTAAACTACTGAATATTAGATTATAAGGTTCTTTACTGATATTAGGATGATGCATTTCTGAAGATGTACTAGGTGTGGGATAACCATCTGTAATAAGATATGAAAGCACGCATGAAAATAGAGCAACAGTCTACTGGCTCTTCTACAAATCTGTTGTGTTTGAATGAGAAATTGAACTTTCAATACTTATATACCACAGTGTCTGCATGAATATAACATATAGACGTAATACTAATGGATAAATAACTAATAATGACATATGATATCTACTACCCCTTAAATATTTCATGAATTTGCAAATCTTACTTGATAGCCATGTAGATTAGCACTGAAAGTTGTAAAGATATTGTATGAAAATACTTGTATGTTATATCTTTTCAGATGGTAAGTACTGTACTTTTTTTTAAATACCCTATATCTACCATCAAACCAGCCAATTGTAAAGAAGAATCCATTTATTTTGCTCTTAATAAAAGAAATAACTCTGGCTGCAGTAAATTACAATGAAAAAAAAAAGACTTTGTTTCACTGTATTTTGTGTGTTTATTTTGATTGTGATGTTGCTATTAGTTGGTTTCCCAACCCATATATGATAGCAAAGCTACAGATGTTGGTAGTTAAGCTAAAGAAGTAAATTCTTATTGCACCTCATATTCAACAATCCTTACCACTTCAAAGACGACAACCATTGAATATCATGTTATTGGCGAGTTCATATCTCTGAGGTCCAACCAGAGATACTTTGGATCAACTGTTGAAAGGCTGTGCATTTGAATAAAACAATACTGTAATGCTAAAACATACAATACAACAACCACTGTCTAAATGAATGTGATGTTGTACCTACCTTTTATGTCATTCTACATTCCCAGGAAGAATTCCATCTTACCATTAGGCTAACAAAAACCACTCTTTTTTTTTTGAACCAGATGAGTGCACTGACACTACATCTTCAGTCGTGGGAATGTAAAGAAAGTACAGAACATGAACTTTGATTGTTATAGTAAATGTTGCCTTCTGTACCTGTCCTGAGTTAGCCTTTGTGTGTATATATTAATACACATTGCAGTGGCCAGCAAGAATACTACTTTTAGTTACATGAATTGCAGTGAAAAGTCTTTGTTCCACTAGATTTTACCTTCAATTATTTGATTATGATATTGATGGAGTAGAGTTTTCTGGCTTGTAGATAGTGATGATAATGGTAGTGGATACTACAACTTTGTGTACTAGTAGTCATCCATGAAGGTTAACATCAATTTTTGTTGTTTACTACACAGGTTATTCATTGTAAGGGCCATACATTTAAGTAAACTTATGCTGCTCGAGTATAAAACAAAAAATGGATTTTTGTTAATTTGTGTGTATGCAATATTCTTCATAAACATGATTCAATTTACAATTACAGTTAGGCTCAAACATAGGATGTGAAAGGAGCTACTATATATATCGTTTTTTTTAAAAGGAACTAATACCCCCACTATTGGTAAAACAATTGGCAAATCCTTACTCTGATACTGTTTTTTTGCTCTGTTACACCTAAAGTACACTGGGTCATTATTATTTATAACCTTGATTAGTTTTGCAATACTAACAGTAGATAAAAAGTGAAAAATGTCTTCTCAACAAAAACCATAGTTTTCAAACATTTTTAGTTTGTTTTAATTTATATTGTATACATTTTGTTTTAAGTTGTAATTAAAAATAAAATTGGTAGAAGTATGCTATTTTTAATTCATTTTTACCTACTGTTGGAATGATAGAGTGCATTCTGGCACCTTTTTTTTGTACTTGAGCATTATGTATTATACACATGGAAGTAATACAGAAACCACAATCAAAGTTTGTTCATTTGTTCAGTTAAAAGATAAATTCAAACCACTATTTCAGTTTACACCTGCAATCAAAGGAAATCATGGTATATTTGTGACTTTCATCAATACTGGTGAAGGATACATTTTCATTAGTGAAACACTTGTAAATGCAAGAGATTTCACTGACTGATAAAAATGGTTTACCTTACACCACCACCCAGAGAACTCATTGTGTAAACTACTGAATGTTAGATTATATCATACCATAAAAATGGTACACCCAATGATTTATGTGGTTTTGATTAGAATGTACTTTTAAAAGAGTTAAAAGATTAATAGGCTTAAAAGTTTTACTGAAGCTTCTCAGTATTACCTTTTGTTCAGTTTGTAAACACATTGATGTAGAATGTTACTAAATAGTGCAAGACATGTTAATAAACCATTTCTGATATTTGTTTCCTAAGAAAGAAAAAAAAAAAGGGGATCCTTAGTTCTTGTGACTAAAAGGTCTTCCCATGTCTGCAACACACAACTTGATTATAAAATACCCCAGGAAGAAACCAAAACATTCAAAGTCTTCAGCAGAATTTTCTATGCCCCAAAACCAAAATTTGCCAGCACTTACTTGATTACCAACTTTGGCTCCCACATTTTTACCCAAAACTTGATGCCATGAAGAGATGGTATTATCAGGAAAGGATCTCACCCAAACCCTCATCTAACATGAGACATGAAGCAGCTAAAAGAAATCCTATGAGAGATGAACAAATTTTTGCTAAATGGTGAAAATGTTCAATTGCTGTGGAAGGTTAACTCTCCTCCTTTTAAATCTCTAAAATTATTTATTATTCATAATTATAATAATTAGCAGAAATTCAAGTGGCTGTTTGTGCTAGTAACTATTACTCATACCCCATTGAAAAACAATTAGAAAAAGTAAATATTTTCTAAAAATGGATTTTTCTGGGAAATAATATAGGAAAAAGTGTTCAGTTTATGCCGATATAAACTGAAATGTTTTTATATATTGAAAGTGGTACCCTTTATTGAAAAAATAAGTTTTTTTTTTTTTAACATATAATCAAACCTTACAGTCCCAATGAAAGTCATGTTCTTGTTGCGAGAAGAGTAGTTTTATTTAAAATTGTGTTTTATGATAAAGAAATGGTTGTTGCACATAGCAGTTATTTTTCTGTCTGAATCTTGAATACTCAACATGAGAAATTTTATGGATTTTTAGTTTATGGTGCCATTCTATAGATGGCACCACATTGTATTTATTATTTTAGCCATATACATAGATACACATATACATGCTTCATCCCTTATTGTAAGATGATCACAGAGTCCACCTGTAATCCTGATATAGCCATCTTCTGTACAATTAGTTTTTTAAATCCAGAATTGACCACAAATTTAAGTTTCAATTTCTATGAAACAAATGAACAGAAGTATTACAAGAACAATTTGGTACTGTATCCTTTGAATATAGCACAGATGACATAAAACAACTTCTGCCTGGTCCAGCTTGTTGTGAATTGTATGTTGGTCTCCAATAAAACCTAGTAAATTTTAACAAGTTCTCTAAGAATATGGGATGCTGTTTGTTATCTTCTCTACAATGCCAAAACTCCAGAACTTATGTTTAAATCAATCTTACAAACTTTTTTTTCAAGAGTTTATTCTATAAATAAACATTGTCCATTTGCATAATGAAGGAATGGAAAGATTATTCCATTACTAGAGTTGGACCTCACTGAAGTGTCCCAGTAGTATATTTATAATTTAGAGAAGTTTGATCTCTTATAAATATAGTTACTTGTGCAAGCAAATCAGGTTTTAGGATACTGCAGTACCATATCAGAGTATCAATCCACAACAAAATTCATCATAGGTTTTATGCTAAGTCCAAGTTTAATAAACTTGACATAACTATTTAAAACAACTTTAACTTAACTGGCCGAGTAATGTTTTATTATGATGCAAGGTAAGTTCTGAACCTAGAGACTACATAGACCATTCTATATATATAACAAATTTATATTTCTAGATTTTTAAGATCCTAATAACTTTGTGGATGACAAAAGTAGTCGCTATATGCAGCACCAAATACTCAATTTTAGTAACAAGAGTTTCCACAACATATATTAAATAACAAATTTGAATATTTTCTGGTAATTCTCATATTATAAATCATTAAAAATGAATGTAAATACCTTGTAAAAGAAATAAATTCATTTCCATATTTCTATGCACTTTGTAACAGAGTGAAACCATGTTAATCTAGTGCAAGTGAATGAGTAGGTAAATATAATTATTGAAACAAATATATATATTGTAAGGATTATTGGCTGACTGGAAAAATTAGTATTTACAACTTCGATAAATACACAACAGCATCTATACATTATAATTGTTTTGGTAATTAAATTTATTGCGTAAATCAAAATAACAGAACTATGTGTATGCGTGTGTGTGTATATATATATATATATATATATATAT